TCTTGCTTGATACGAACTGAACACTAGGAAGCATGTTAGTTTAATCAATTGATCACTGTTTGAATTAACTTGTTTGCTAAAGGATTAGTTATAGTGAACATGAATCTAATCAATTTAGGAATCGGTGAACATGAATAAATGAATTTGTGTATGCAGTTGTTTATGTTTTCAAGGTGGAATTTGTCTAAACCAAAGTACCTAAAGAGATTTGTTTTTCCTGTTAGTTTATCGAGAAAGGTTAATTAATTATTAGTTTGAGATTTATTAAATTATTCTTTTCGTGTGACATGTAACCTATAATTAAATATATTAAATTAATCCACCGTTCCCTGTGATCGACACCCGACTTACCTAAGCTATACTGTAATCTGACTAGGTACACTGCCTATAAGTGCATAGTTAGTCTAAGTTTGTTAGGTTATAAATATTAAAATTAATGGGTACTTTCGTGCACATCAAGATACAAACATGTGCAAATGATATGGAAGAAAGGAAGCCAACCCACAAACAGAAAACTAAGCAATGAAATTCTTTGAAAAACTACAAGAAACAATGCCTTTAGCGGCGACACAATTACCGGCGACACAGCCCATTACCAGTGACTCTACCATTTGTTGCCGCTAAAGGCATCTCACCCGAATCCGCGTTTACCCTCTCTGATAGATCTCAGCCATTCGATCGAGTATCTAATCTAACGGTTGGGGTCTCTTATCCGCACAAACCTAATATCGGCAACAATTGTGTCCCCGGTAAATGTCTAAAATGTCACCGTTAATAGTGATCTTAAAAATTACGTGGTACCCTTCCCTCCAGATAGTCGCCGCTGTTGCTTTGAGTCACCGGTAAAGACCAAATCGTTGCCGCTAAAGGCTGTCGCAGATAATAAAAAAGTGCATGTAATTTGCTCATTTTCTTCATGTTTTCTTTCCATCTCTTCCTGTTTCCTGTTGCTACGCTACTCCTCTTCCAATCGGTCCTCGGTTTTGCTATTGGTTCTTGATTCTAACAACTTATCTCCCCCCATTGTATGAGATTAGGGGTCAAGGGTGGTTTGGGCTTCCTGTGACGCGATTTCTAACTCCATTTCGGGAAGAAAGGTAAGTTTAAGTTCCTATATCTCTTTTTCTTTGTATGTTAACCTTGATTTCTAGTTGCATTTGATGATTAATTGCAAAATATTTTTCAATTTCATTGTTTTTGGTAGTGTTGTCTTTGGGTTTAAGAGTGAGAGTATATTCGGGTGAAGACCAATTTTTCCGGCAACAAATTCATTGATTTCCGCCACTACAGGTTCTATTATTTTAATTTATTGTGAAAGTTGAGTTTAATTGCAAGCTATGTGTAGTTGTATCAATTATGTGAAAACTGCCACATGTATGTATATTTTATATTTGTATGAATCTATTTGAGTTTACTTGCAGATAATAAAAAAGTGCATGTAATCTGCTCATTTGCTTCATGTTTTCTTTCCATCTCTTCCTGTTTCCTGTTGCTACGCTGCTCCTCTTCCAATCAGTCCTCGGTTTTAACTCCATTTTGGGAAGAAAGGTAAGTTTAAGTTCCTATATCTCTTTTTCTTTGTATGTTAACCTTGATTTCTAGTTGCATTTGATGATTAATTGCAAAATATTTTTCAATTTCATTGTTTTTGGTAGTGTTGTCTTTGGGTTTACGAGTGAGAGTATATTCGAGTGAAGACCAATTTTTCTGGCAACAAATTCGTTGATTTCCGCCACTACAGGTTCTATTATTTTAATTTATTGTGAAATTTGAGTTTAATTCCAAGCTATGTGTAGTTGTATCAATTATGTGAAAATTGCCACATGTATGTATATTTTATATTTGTATGAATCTATGTGAATTTGGTTTATATATGCCAATGTATGTGTGTTGGTATATGACTATTTTGGCAGAAGTATATATGATGTTATTATCTATATATGTGAAATTATATGTGTTTGTCATAAGTAGGATGTTATTGCATGTGTATGCGAATGTATGTATGTTTGTTGTAAATGTGGTATATGAGTGAAATTTATGAATTTGGTATAAATATGATGTTATTATCTATATATGTGAAAGTATGTGTATTTGTTTTAAGTAGGATGTTATTATGTGTGTATGTGAATGTATTTGTATTTGGTGTATATGTGGTATATGTATGTGAAAGTATGTGAATTTCATGCTCTTATGTGTTATGTGAAAAAGTATGTGGTTTTGGTATAAGTATGATGCTATAATTTAAAAAAATAAAAATAAATTATTGCTATATTTGGAAAAAAAACACAAAAAAAAAATTATAAAATTGTTTAAAAACCTATATACGAATATTAGAAAATTTCTAGTTTCTTCCCAAACTAACCACAAGTTAACCGATAAGTTCTATAGCTAACTAATAATCTTCAACTTAACTTATAATCTTGCAACATATTTATACAATGTTATAAAAAAAAAAAAAAATTAATCTCGACGGTACAGGTACTGGTCATCACGAATAGGATGGTAAGTCTTATTATGAATTTTTATTTACTATTTTTGTTCATTTAATATAAATTAAATAACGTTTAATAATTTTTAATTACATTTGTAGTTGAACAACTTGCACGAAGGAAAGTGAGAGGCAAAGCGAAAAATATAAAGCTTGAAGAAGCGATCTTACGGAACAAGGGCAAATCGATTAGCATGGAATATGATAGGTATATCACATTTGATCCCGTAGGAGAGCCGAAAGACATGTTTTCCTGAGAAGTTGGAAAAACAATGTGGCAGATGGTCCCATTTGATAAATGGACTTAGAAAAAAGTTTCTCCTGCAATACATGACACTGTATTACAACATTGTAATTATTTATTTAAATATATTTTATATGGTTAACTATAATTATTTTTTACTTAGTTAACTTTTTTTGTACACAAAGTTTGATTTGGATCAGATGTACCGGGATGTACAAGTTAATATGTTGACAGAGAGTTTTCAAGCAGCTTTGTTAAAAGGTTATCGAGAATGTAAAGCTAATGCAAAAGAATATTTTATGTAAGTCGGAGGGTATAAAGATATCCTAGGAGCATTTGCCAACCCTCTAGAGGGTATGGAAGTTGATAACTAGAAGAAAGCAGTTGAGTATTTCCAAACAGACGAACACAAAATTGCTTCAGACAGGAACAAAAACAATCCGTTAAATGCAAACAAATGTGAATCGTGGGGGGTCGAGCTCGTATAGTAGTACTTGCTATAAGAAGGTAACATACGATACATGTAATTATTTATTTAAAATAAAATCTTATTTTTACAGTTAAACAGAACCTTAAGAGAGTGGAAACGTTTCGCAAAACTCATACCGATAAGAATGATGTATTTGTTACGGCTGAGGCAGAACAACAAGATGTAAGTATTTAATTATAATTTTATCATATAATTAGATGTTTATTTATACTTAATTGTTACTCACTTTTGGGACTTACAGAATCGGTTAGTTGAAGAGCTGTTAGCTAGAACAAACTCAAGGTGAAAGTCAATTAACACGCGCTCAAGAAAGAACTGCGTTTGAGATAGTATTAGGAGAGCGATGTGGCCATATTAGAGGCATTGACCGTAAACCTTCTTCTCTCCCGCCGATTCCACAACCTTCACAACTATCACAGGTAAAACAATCTACTTTGGTTTTGTGGTGATTATTTACTAAAAAGTTTGGTAATTAGGTTTTTGTCCCAAGTGCAAAAATAACAACGTACTTTGGTTTTTTGTCTTAGTTTAAAAATAACAATCTACTTTAGCATCGTAAAATGCATGTTGATTTGGTAATTTTGGTTTTGTGGTGATTATTTGCTAAAAAGTTTGATAATTAGGTTTTTGTCCCAAGTGCAAAAAATAACAACGTACTTTGGTTTTTTGTCTTGGTTTAAAAATAGCAATTTACTTTAGCATCGTAAAATGCATGTTGATTTGGTAGTTTTGGTTTTGTGGTGATTATTTACTAAAAAGTTCGGTAATTAGGTTTTTGTCCCAAGTGCAAAAAATAACAACGTACTTTGGTTTTTTGTCTTAGTTTGAAAATGACTATGTATTTTGATAGTTTTTGTTTATGTTTGATTATTTAATTTATAAGTTTATATATGTTGTTATTAATTATATAGCTGGAAAATCTCTGTGTGATGCTGAATGACCTCGCATGTATGGATGAGCTGTATTCGTTTTTTCAATCGCAAAATAATTGAAGAAACAATGGGAATGAAGATGATGATATATAACTTTGGTTGTTTTTTGTAATTGCCGGCGACACTAATATCGGACGACATTATTACTTTTTTATATTTAATTGGATATTATGATTTTGATATTTAATTAATTATAATCGGATGTTTGTTTTGTAATTAGCATCGACGCTATTATTTTTTATATTGAATCGAATGTTGTTATGTAATTACCAACTACATTATTATCGGCAACCAAAATTGTTAATTACAAAAAAAAAAAAAAAAAAAATTAAAAATTAAAATTCTAATTATCGGCGACACTATTCCTTGCGACAGAGTTATTACCGGCGACACCTATCATTAGCGGCGATGGGTTCATTAGCGGCAACATCTATCATTAGCGGCGGCAAGTTTATCAATAGCGACGAAGTAGTAGCGGCGACTTATTATCCGCAACTTTTATCGCCGCTAACGATCGTTTTCCTTGTAGTGCTTTTCTGCTTAGGCTATGATCTTGCTGAAGATTTTGCAAAATATTTTCATGTAACCGATAATGCACTTCCTTGATAGTCGATATTTACTATTTTTTAATTTTCAAATATAAGATATGCATTCCATGTTTAAATTAATATCCCAATTACCCTACCTTACCTGTTCACAAACTAAGCAACATATATATGTATATCATCGAGAGGCTCCATCATACCAGTAAAACCATGAAGATGGAGCTTCCCTCAGAAAATTTTCCCATATACTCCCAAGGCTGCCTGCCAAATATTTATCACGTTGCAAGTGTGTCTCCAAGCAATGGAACTCCTTCCTAAGGACGCCTTATTTTTCCAAGATTCACCTCAACCACGTAACCAACGACGACCATCAAAATCACCACAAATTTCTCTTCTTCTCGTCATCCATAAACCCAAAGGTGTTCCACAATCTCGACTGTGAAACACCTCATCAAGAAGGTTTACCTGTGAGCCGCTCTTTACCATTTGAAGTGGGTTCTGCGGTGATGCTGTTTATAACATCTTTCAATGGACTGGTTTGCGTAGGCATAAACGAGGGAGGAAACAGTTATGAATACTCCAATATGACAATATGGAATCCTTGTACAGGTGACTATAAGACGTTGTTTAAACCCAATTCTCGGGAAGAATGCTACCAGGTGACTGTAAAAGCATCCGGGTTGTATTACTGCGCTTCTGAAGATGCTTACAGGCTTCTACGTGTGACCACAGGGCTCAATGTTTATATATACTCGTTGAAATCCGATTCATGGAGAATGCTGGATTCGATGAAGGTCTTGAACTCAGTAAGCACCCTTACTTCAGAAACTTGGGGGGCAAGTACTCTACAGAATGAAAATCTCTATTTCTTAACCAAGAGGGTGAACAAATATCATCAACTAGTTTCATATTGCATTATAAGGTTCGACACAAAGACCTAAAAGTTCAAAGAGTTGCCAACTCCCTCTTCTATGTAATAATATTTCGTAACAAAATTACTAACAACTTAGCTAGGAATTTTTTTTCCATAGCAAAACAAGCAACATAAATAAAATTCCGCAATATAATTCCGGAGGTAAATATCTACGAATAGTACTTCCATAGGAAAGAAACTATGGAATTGTTTTCCGTTGACCAATTCTATTGCATCTTAACCATGATAATTAATTACATAGTAATAGTAAAGTGTTTTCGTAAAAAATTTCATTGGAAAATTGCTAGGAATGTTTTTTCTATAGAAATACTGGTAGCATAATACCAACAGATATGGAGTCGATAGCATTTTCCCTAGCAAGTCTCATGCTCGCTACCAAAAATAAATTTCGTAGACAATGTGGTAGCAATCTTGCTATGAAACGACATTCCATAGCACGATCCATTGTAGATTAACAACGAAAATACGTTCCATAGCGCCCTTCCCTAACAATGTCGCGTTTTTTTGTAGTGGATGTGTAAAAACTTAGGGTAATATTGAGATCCCAATAACAATGTCAAAAACACAAAGATGACGGTTGAAAAAGATCAAATATCATCGGAAACCCTAATAGCTTCTTTTAACAAAAGAGATGTGTATAGATTACACAATCTCCTACTCTGATACCAAATTGATGAGACTAATCCAAAAGATCGATAAGATTCAAACAGGTAAAGCAATGACACACTAATAATCAAACAGATGTTGAATGATTAAAAGTCACGCCTCACTTGAACTCGATCAAGAATTTCAATTGTAGAGGAGTGGTAGGGTTTACAAATGATTTCCAAAGATAAAAACGTTAACATCATGCGGTGCATGCATGCACTATATATATACATAAACCCTAATTAATAAGACAGTTGGACAGGCCCAAACTGCATACATATTGGTAGAGGTGGCAAAAATTGACACGACCCGAAATCGACACGAAATAAATGGGTTTGGGTTAGAGATTTCGACACGTTTAATTAAACGGGTTGACACGACACGACACGATTATTAAACGGGTAAGGTTAGGGTTAAGATTTTCAACTCGAAAATGACACGAAAATAACCCGTTTATATATATATATATATATATATATATATATATATATATATATATATATATATAGTGTGTATTGGGTTAAAGTAACATATTGGGCTGTTATTGTGTTCAAAGGGTATTGGACTATTGGGCTAATAAAGAGATTTTTTGACCTAATTGGCTAATTACGTGATGACCTAATTCTTTCCTAGTTTTCTGCTTTCCGCACACTCCTAGCTTCCGCACACCAGTGAGGTAGTGACGACAAAAAACAGAAGAACGCACTCGACACTCCACGAAAACGCTCTCGATTCTCGTCTTCTTTTCCTCGTACGTCGTTCGATCAATCGTTCCTTGTGAGTCGCAACAACTATCGGTTTACTTCCTCCCACATATCAATCGATTCTCATCTTCTTTTCCTCTTATGTGTTCGTTTTTTTTTGTTGCAGTTAGGTAATCATGGATGAACCAATCAACTTGTCTGGTGATGAAATCGATGTTTCTAATGACGAAATAGGAGATGAGATGGAAGAGGAAGTTGGTAGTGCACCACCAATTTCTAATCGGAATATGCATAAACTGAATCTGTCTGGTAACCCACCTATCAAATGAAAACGTAAGCTTACTTCTCGTGTTTGGAAATCCTTTGAAATACTTAAAGAATCGGATAGTAAGGGGAATATGTTGTGCAAATGCAAGAAATGTGGGACTACATATATTGCTGAAAGTAGTCACGGGACAGGGAATCTACTTAGGCATAAAACGGCTTGTGATTTGAAACACAAAAGTTATAAAGATGTTGGACAGCTTCTTATACAATCTAATTTGAAAGGGACTTTGGGTACTAGATCTCCTACTTTTAATGCTGATGAATTTCGTGAGTTGGTTGCTGTTGCTATTGCTAGACATAATCTTCCTTTTCAATTTGTAGAATATGAAGGTATTAGGAAATGTTTTGCTTACTTATATCCAGAAGTTAAAACATTTTGCAGAAATACCATAAAAAAAGAAATATTCAAATGTATTCATTTGAGAAATCAAAGCTCTATGATTTGTTGCGACTTGTTCCTGGTAGAATAGCATTAACATCAGATTGTTGGACTTCTGTAACAACTGATGGGTATCTTTCATTGACTGCTCACTTTGTTGATCATAATTGGTGCTTGCAAAAACGTATTTTAGCTTTTACTTCTATGCCCCCTCCCCATAATGGTGCTTCCTTAGCAGAAAGAGTTTGTGGATTGTTAAAACAGTGGGGAATTGATAAGAAAATAGTTTCCATAACCTTAGATAATGCCTCTGCAAATGATTCTATGGCTAATGCACTGAAGTTTGATTTGAATTTGATGTCTGATGGTGATTATTTTCATGTTCGTTGTTGTGCTCACATCCTTAATTTGATTGTACAAGATGGCTTAAAAGAATTAGATGAAGCTATTGTTAAGGTGAGAGATACTGTTAAGTATTACAAAGGTTCTCAAGCTCGGAAAAAGTCATTTTTGCGTTCTGTTCAATATGTTGGCATAGATTCCACAAGACACTACTAGAAAAATAGCCTTTTACGACGCGCAAAACACGACGCTCTTTGATTTATGTTACGCATTAGAGAGCGACATTAAAAAAGTATCATCTCTTCAAAAATTTTAAGGATTTAGGTCGCGCATTACTGAGTGCCCTTAAATTAGTGTTTCATGTAAAAATATTAAAAACACGGAAGGCACTTGTGCGTCATCTGTGAATGTCGTTTTATATTTTTTTTAAGAAACGCGCGTCTCGGAGGGAAATTGAAATCCCCAAATTTTTTAAACCCCCACCTTCTTCTCCCTTGTCTCCACCCCCATCCACATCCACTACCTCCGATCCTCATTTCCTCTTCTAGCCTCAAACTATGACGATGCACCTTCCTTCCCGAAGTATGCTTCATTTACCACCATCGTCCGATTATGTGAACCCAAGGAATTGACGGAGACGAAGAAGATTATGGATCAATTGCTTCACATCATGTTTAAGGTTAAGGGTTTGAGATTTCTTCCACCTTCTTCCATCGATGTTGATCTTTTAATTAGCAACAAGAAGCCCTAGGGCCTCCGCCTTCACCCACCTCCAGCGCCTCCAACAAGAAGCCCTTGGTCCCCCGCCTTCACCCACCTCCAGCGCCTCCAACAAGAAGCCCTTGGTCCCCCGCCTTCACCCACGTTCTCACAGTCGATCGTAAATCGGTTTGATGTTCTTCCAAGATTCATGGCTTACACATCTCTCAATTCTCTTTCTGTTGGTGAATCTGCTCTTTTTTGCTCTCGAACGAGGGTTTTTTTGGCTTCAGGTCTCGGATTTCTTTTAGGCCTTCTTCAACTGTACTCATGCATAAATTCTATGGTAAGGGTTTTTAATCGCTCTTTAGTTTCGATTCTATGTTGTTTCCGTTAGTTAGTTTGCTTATTTTCTAAAACTCCCATAAATCCCCCTCTTATGATTCCTTCTAGACCTTAAAAACTTTTCAACACTTCCAAGTTTATCTTGTAAAACTCCCATAGCATTAACAGAAAGCATAAACCCAACACATGATCCTAATGATTTTGAAGTTGGAAAGAGACATAAACTTGAGTTTATTAACATTTTTACTGATGATGGGAAGATAAACAGTAATGGAGGTTTAGGGTTTGTAAGGATGCCATGTTTTGAAGCTCGTGTTGCAATAACTGAGGCTTTGAAGTCTAACGTTTTTAATACCTTTCTTAATTTTTTGTCCAACCCTAAAAGACGCGAATACCCTTCTTATATTCTTCATCAAATATGCATACAGGAACTTTATAAAGGGGAAGAAAAGAATGAGATACGTTTAGGTGTTTGTTCTAGAAGCAATGATGTGATTGAACCTATGATTAAGCCTCAGTGGTATGTCAACTGCAATGGTATTGCTAAAGAAGCTCTTGATGTTGTAATGGATGAAAATAACAAGAAAATTGATATACTTCCAAAACAGTATGCTGCTGAATGGAAAAGGTCACCTTCTCTAGTCTTTCATTCTACCTTTAAAATTGATATACAACATTTAAACTTTATTAATTAATTTTAAATTTTTTTGATTTTTACAGATGGCTTGAGAACATTTGTGATTGGTGTGTATCAAGGCAGCTTTGGTGGGGCCACCGAGTTCCTGCACGGTATGTGACATTGGAGGATGATAAACTGAAAGAGCTTGGAGCATACATGGATCATTGGGTGGTTGCTAGGGATGAGAAAGAGGCTGAAGCTGAGGCTAGAAAGGTCTTTTCAGGGAAAAAGTTTGAATTGGTTCAAGATCCTGATGTTTTAGACACCTGGTTTTCTTCAGGGCTTTTCCCTTTATCTGTATTGGGGTGGCCTGATGATACTCAAGATTTGAAGACTTTTTATCCAACTGCTGTTCTTGAAACTGGGCATGACATTTTGTTCTTTTGGGTTGCTGCTATGGTGATGCTTGAGATGATATTCGGAGGCGATGTACCTTTCCAAAAGGTTAGTTAAGTTTTTTAAATTATTTAAAATACTATAATGCAATTTTAGAAACAAATGAAAGCAGGATGCTATAGTACAAAAATTAAATGAAAGTATGTTGTTTTTGACTTATTTCCCGCTTTTATCCCTATATCATCACGAGCCCCTGAAACACCGGTTCAACTACATCTGATGTAAGAGGTTCTAACAGAGATATGGCCCCACTCAGACCAGTGCCAGCACAAGAAATGCCAACAGCCATGGCTAATCTAGATTTAATTTCTTTAATCCAGGTGGTGGGGACACCAAATTACATGTGCCCTGACCTCAATGGACACCAAATTACATGTGCCCTATGTATAGATGATTGTTGTAGTGAGGCAAGTTACTTTCTTTCTTTTCTTTTTCAAGATAACAATTACACTTACTATCATCATTCAGGTTATTGAACAATGAACAATATTCTTTTTGTTCACTTTCTAGGCCTTCTGTATCTCCTCCAAGATCAACTGCAAGGCGCAATCCATACACTGATCCAGAAAATCATATTTGGTCTCCACAATATACTTATGTTGATAAACCCGAAACACCTGCAATCAATCCAAGTTATATACCTATTCCAAAACGGAGCAGATTACCTTTTACACCATCAAATGATCCTGTTCTTGATAACAGTGAAAGGTAACTTATTGAGCTAAACATATATATAAGGACTTTTCTATTTCTTACATACTCTACTACAGAGAATTGCAAGCTAAAGCGAAAAGATTGGCCCGATTTAGAGACGAAAAGATATGTGTCCAGGTATCTTTTTATTCAAGGAAATACCATTTGAGTCCCTTAAGGCCTTGAATTTAATTTTTATTTTTTTATTTTTATATAGAGCAAGAAAGAGCAGAGAGAGAGGAAAGGAGATCTTGATCAATATGAACATTTGGATGGAGATAGAAATCAGACAACTGAATCTCTTGCAGTTAAGAAGGTAAGGGGATGTTTGGAATTCTGTTTTATTTAGGGGAGTTGATATTGCCACTTTAATTTTTGATGGAAAAAAATATAAATTGTCAATTATGCCCCTATTTATTTAAAAGAGAGAAATATCAATCTTTTTTTCCGAAAAACCCCATGATCTTGGCCTGGTTGTTTCCCTCGTAAGTCATAAATATGATGTAGGTATTCAATCATTTGTAAAAGTAGAAATTCGTATCATAATCAAAATTAAAAAATGGATAACACAGATGAATCCGAAACTCAAAAAAGGTTGATACTATCGACGATGAATTGGTTATTGGTTTGCTAGATGTGCGTTTTGTGAAAACAAAATAGGATTGCTTTCTTTTAATAAAATAAGGGCATAGTTTTCAATTCACAGTTTATTTAAGTGGAAGGATTAAAAGTTGCAGTGGCAATATCACCACCCTTTATTTATATTTCTTGATTGTAATATGTATAATTAAAATTTTTATTTTTACTTATTTCAAGTACACTAGGACAGCTGAGAGGGAAGCTGCACTGATAAGACCAATGGCAATCCTGAAAAAGACAATGGAGTATCTTTTAAACTTGTTGGATCAAGCCTATGATGATCGATTTCTTGGTTTATACAACTTTTTATGGGATAGAATGAGGGAAAGGGATTTTTTAATATCAATTGCATCTCAAATGTCAAGGCCAAATCTAGGTTCAGATGAACGAGTTGTTCAGTTACCTGTTCAGGTTTCAATTTAAAAAAAATTAATAAATTGCTAATTCTTGTTATATATGAAAATTGAATTATTTATATTATGGTTGTACAGGTTTTGACGCTACAAGCTTCACTATAGTGCTTTCTGTTATAAGGAAAATAAGGTAACTCATTTATCTCTTTCTCCCCCTTATCATATCATGATAATACTTGGATTAAAAATGAAAAGAACTCAAGGTTAACTCATTTATATGTTTAATTACCTTTTTGCCCTTGCTGTTTCTTTCAAAATGATCTTCTTTTACCCTTCAAATCCTTGGTGCTGAAAAAGCCCTTTTCAGGTCAAATATCATTATCCACAACCACTAAAACTTTCAGCTAAAAACAATTAGATATTAATGTTGATCTTGTACTGATTTTAATGTTGATGGTGTAATGGTTGATTGCTAGTGGAGTACATTTGAAGCACATGTTCCACAGGAGTATAATTAGAAGGGATATAAACGACTATTTTAATATGGACTGGCTCTTGTCCAAAAGACCTAAATGCCCTCCCCAAAAAAAGCTTAGCCTAATTGGAGTGTTATAAAGATATAAAAATGTAGCAACATATAAGGTTGTATAGTTTTAATATTATTAGGAATGTGCAGATATGTTGGGCATTTTCTATCTATTTGGAAGCTGTTGTTATTCTCCCACAGTTGGTTCTGCTGCAGCGAAGTGGAAATGTTGACAATTTGACCGGTCAATATGTTTTCTTTCTTAGGTATTCTCCCTTCTATATTTTGCATTGTATTGTTAGCGCATACCGTGCATTGTATATTCTCAACTGGATTTTTTGGTATCTCACACAGCCCCATTTCAATGGATGGATATGTAAGTTAAAGCTTTTCTCTTATTCTTATTGTCTATACATGTATTTCATTTGACTTTTGTTTTGTTTGTTTTCAGCCTAGTTCTCTGGCTTAATACAAACAACTCTTTATGCTGATTTCTTCTACTATTACTTCATAAGGTACTCAACCTCCATTCCCATTCTTTATGTTCTGTCTTTTACTTTAAGCATAATCATAATAACACATGATTTATAAAGAAGGGCATTTACGTCTTTACTCTTCGCCTGGCCTATTATCAAGTTTTACTTTCAAGAAGGCTTCTAATGGGTTGCTTCATCTCTAGTTTAGCAGTAATTTGTTGCCTTGACCTCAGCAGGTATTCCATATGCAGAATGAATTAGTTAATATTCGAATACATTACAAAAGAAATATTACATATAAATTTCTTATTTTTGTTTGAATTCATGGATTTATGTCACTGGTAAGAGTTATGGTACCAGGTTAGACATTTTAGTCCAGTAAGTGGTTAATAATTTTAAAAAACAAACTCCCCCTAAATGTATCAATTTATATTAAGGCTAATTTAATTTATTATTTAAAAAACAAACATCAAGTTATTTGCTTTGCTCTTATTGCCCCTGATCGGGATCAATACGGATTCCCATAACAACATCGTCAAAGATAAGGCCAGGATTTAAATCTTATTATATTATACCCCTCACATTTTCCCAAATTACCCCTTCCTCTACAATGTTTTTTTGTTTCTGTGTATTTTGTGCATCAGGTAAAGTTGATGGACGAAAGGAATATGAAGCTACTTGATTTAAGTCTTGCAGCATTATCAACAAGATGCAGTAAAGACTTGGAGTTGAATTTGGCTAAGTCATTATTGTGTGAGATGGGCCAATGTACAACTGTTTATCCATATAATCAACTGTTTGGAGCATTAGTCTTAAAGAATTATGAAATGCAAGATGCAACTTTACTTAGTTGGAATTTGATGTACATAGTAGATTAGATGCAAATTTATATATTGTAAGAAATAGAATTGTATCACATTAAATTTATAAAATGGATTTTATTTTTTGTATATGATATTTTATTTTCTATTATGAAACATTAAATACAAATTTAATTTGAAAATAAGTAAATCTATAAATAATATTTTTTTTAAACATTTAAAAATATGATACGCAAAAATGTGTGTCATCTTCATTTATGACATGGCCTTTCTTGACAGTGGATTTCTTGATACGCATTGCGTGTCATTAACACGCGCGTCGTAAGCCTACGACACGCGAATGCGTGTCGTTTTCCTTTATGACGGGGCCTTCCTTGATACGCATTGCGTGTCGTAAACGCGCGTCGTAAATGAGCGTCGTAAATGCGCGTCGTCTCTCTTTATGACAGGGCCTTCCTTGACGCGCATTTGCGCGTCGTTTGAGCCTTTTACGACGCGCAATGAGCGTCGTAAAAGGCTGTTTTTCTAGTAGTGAGAGGGCTAAGGCAAGATGTTCCAACTCGTTGGAATTCTACATATCACATGTTAGATAGTGCATTATATCACAAAAAAGCAATTCTTCATTTGGCAAAGACTGATGCAAACTATGTTCATTGCCCAAGCTTCGAAGAGTGGAGTAGGATTGAAAAAATTTGCAACTTTTTGCAAGTTTTCCATGATGTGACTTTAGCTTTTTCAGGTTCTAAGTATCCTACTTCCAATCTTTATTTTCCTAATGTTTTAAAGATAAGATTGCTTTTGCAAGAGGAGAAGGAAAATGGTGATACTTTTATAAAGAACATGGCTAAAAATATGCATTTGAAGTTTGACAAGTATTGGTGTGAGTTTAGCACTATTATGGGCATTGCAATTGTTTTTGATCCCCGTTACAAGTTTCATTTTATTGAATGGGCTTTCAAAAAGATATATGGTTCATCTTTTGATGTTGAGTTGGATTTGTTTAAACAAAAATTATTTTCCTTGTTTGATGAGTATACGGCTATTAGTGCTACAACCAAGGCTAATGAAAGCTCATCTCATTCCGGTGTTGCCAATGATAAGTCGGACACATATATGACGGTAATATTTTGCTCCTATCTTATTTTATGATTTTTTTTTGTATTTTCCTAACTTCTACATTTTTTGCTAGGATTTTGATGATTTCTTTAGCTGTGAATTTACTACTGGTGGTAAATCTGAGCTGCAATCTTACCTAGAGGAGCCAAAATTACCTCGCACGGGTGATTTGAATGTGTTGGAGTATTGGAAACATCTTCAAGGACGGTATCCTGTTGTTTCTCAAATGGCTAGAGATATTTTGGCCATCCCAATATCTACTGTTGCTTCCGAATCTGTTTTCAGTATTGGAGGAAGAGTTATTGATGCTTATCGTAGTTCGTTGAAGGCAAATGCTGCTGAAGCCTTGGTTTGTCTTAGAGATTGGGTTTTTAGTGAAGGTAAAATTTTCATTTATAAAATTCTGTATTTACAAAAAAAAAAAAAAAAAAAAAAAAAACTGCATTTAAACAAATATTAGGAGTAAAATCTGCATTTTTTTAAAGAGTTAAAATTTTGCATTTACAAAAAAACAACATTTAAATTTATGCATTTATAAAAACTGCATTTATAAAAAAAAACTACATTTAATTTGAAAGTAATGCTAATATAATTTTTTGTATTTTGTAGGTTCAATGCATCCAGATATTGAGGTGTTATGCAAACAGACTTTAACAATGAAGATTGGCGATGTGAATGAAGATGAAAGTGATGTACCAAGTGCTCCTAGTATTCAAACTCAACAATCCGGTTTAGGTTAAAGATTTGAAGTTGAATTCTCGTATTACTTGTATTTTTTATTTTAATGTTGTGGATGTTTGATGTTTTGGAAACTTGCTATTATTTTGGATTGTAAACTTCGCTTAATACTTTGAATGTTTAATGCTTTAACTTGTGAACTAATAGTTTTGATCTACTGATTTGGTTGTTTACTTTCCTGATGTAAAATTTAGAAAATTTTATTCTTTAAACGGGTTAAACAGGTTAAACGGGTTAAACGGGTTACATGGGTTAAACAGGTTTCGCGGGTTAAACAGGTCGTGTCGGGTTAGAGGGTTTTATACGTGTCGAGTTCAGGTCAACAATTTTTGACCCGTTTAATAAACAGGTCGTGTCCGTGTCACATATTTCCAACCTGTTTAAGTTTCGACACGACACGAACCCGACACAACACGACCCGTTTGCCACCTCTACATATTGGACTAAATATAAAACAGCCCAATGATGCAACACCTAACACCCAACACCAAGTTATTTAGATAATATTTTAGAGCTCTTCAATACCTTTCCGTGGATATGAAGAACGTCGAAAACGGAGTTAAAACGAAGAAGTTACGACTGTTTTGGGTCAGTCGCGTACGTTAGGCGTAAATTGAGTATGTCGGGCGTATTGAGTGTGCCTGAGTACGTTGGGTGTAGAGATCAATTCCCAAACCCTATTTTCATGGTTTTAGCCCTATTTAAGCTCCTTAACTCCCCAAAACACATTCCATTATCAGTATCAATCTCTCCGACACCCTCTCTTGTAATGGTATCCCTAGATTGAGCATTGTGAGCAAAAAGAATATGTTTTTAAGTGCTTTGGAGTGTTTTGGTGCACCTTGGAGAAGAAGGAACCCATTGAAAGAAGTGTTGGTGTCATTGGAGCTTGTAGATCCGGACATTGTTCACCTTGATCTTTCTCCTAGAGGTATAAAGTTTGAATCTTAATGACGAATTTGTTAGATCTAGCTAGTTTTGAGTGTTATGAGCTTTTGGTCACTTTAAGTACATAAAGTTTAGATATTAAAGGTTTGTGACCTTGTTATGGAGATAGTTGGAAAGTTTATCCATCTACACATCATTTTGATTTAGATCTGAAAGTTAGAGTCTTTGATTTAATGGATTAAGTTGAAAAAGATGCACTTTTAGATCCCTTTGAGACTTAAAGACTATATCTTGTTTGTTGGGACCATTCTAATGGATAAATTTGGAAACTTTATTCATTATGGAACTATTTTGAACCATAAAATGTGATCTTGGCCCTTACATCCCTTAAATACGAGAGTTGTGATGTCTTATTGGGTTAAGAACTTAGGGTTTTGGTCATTAAGCACTTTATAGCCATGCAAAGTCATAAAGATAGAAACTATAGGAGTCAGAATATCATTTTAGGCTGATATTTGTGTTTTGGACTTAAGGGATTAATTGAATAAATTCTTAATGGAGTTTTGTGACTAAGCTGCGTACGTTGGGCGTACCTGGTGGTCCGATGCGTGTATGTGGTCAGCGCCCCACTTTTGGTCATCATCAGAGTACGTTGGGCGTACTCTCTTGGTACGCAGGTCGTACTCTCTTTGTATGCATGGCGTACTCTGTTGGGAAGAAATTATGACTTTTGGACATTGACCGTTGACTTTGACTTTAATGAGGGATGACCAAGTTTGACCTAATGGCATTTTAAGTAATTTGATTTGTAGTTTAAGATTTGGGTTCCTTTTAATTGTATAGGTGACCGGTAGAGATAGCTGTTAAAGTAGTAATCTGCGCATCTATTCTTTCAAACTGTGAGCTGAGTTTCTCATTATATCCATGGGTCGAAGGCATCAATGTTGGCTCATTACTTGTTATTATGAATGCTAGTTGTCTCTGTTAGGGGTGAGCGCGGTGTTGTTCGGTGCGGTTATTAGCCAAAACCTCACCACTAACCGCAAATGCGGTTAATCGATTTTGAAAACCGTTTGGTGCGGTTATTTTTGCGGTGCGGTTAGGCGGTTATTTTTGCGGTGCCGTTTCGTTTTTTCTGTGTTGCGGTTATTAACCGCATGAATTTGGTGCGGTTATTTTGTGTGGTTTTTAACCACAGTTTAGTGCTCAAACGGTGTTAAGAGTTCAAACATATGACTTGTAAGAACAAAAAAATGTCTAACACAATTAACGTAAATCACAAACAATTAATATCTTAAAAACGTCAAATCAATAGTAATTAACAAGAAATTTTTAAAATTGTCTAATTTCACAATTTTTCAAAGTTAAACATAACAAAAAACCAACACTTTTGTCTTCTAGTATTTTATTCATCTTTCATTCATGAAACTTGTCTTATTTTTAATATTCAATATATTAATAACTAATAAAAAAAGAGTTGTATATAGTATATGCGGTGCGGTGCGGTTTTTTTGCGGTTTTTGAAAACTAATAACCGCACTGCACCGCAAATTTGCGGTTTTTGAAAAACAGAAAACCTCACCATCGGTTTTTATTGCGGTTGCAGTTTATCGGTTGCGGTTTATGCGGTTTTTGCGGTTAATTTTAGTTACGGTGCGGTTTTTGCTCACCCCTAGTCTCTGTGATGATTGTATGAAAGATCAGATAACAACTACATATTTCTAAACCATGCCAAGTTTGGAATACATAGAGACATTGTACTCACATAATTCAAACTTTAGCATAACTTTAACTTTAACTTTAACTTTAGTTAGTATCATTAGAAGTTCGAAGTCAAGATCATTAGAAGTCCAAATTTAAATACATGGGGCTGTACTATAGGCAAGATTGGAGAGTACTACGAAGAGACGCATAATCGTGGGGAAAAGACGATATTGAGATACAAACATGTGCAAATGATATGGAAGAAAGGAAGCCGACCCACAAACAGAAAACTAAGCGATGGAAAACTTTGAACAAAACTACGTTGTTCTGCTAGGCAATGATCTTGCTGAAGATTTTGCAAAATATTTTCATGTAACCGATAATGTACTTCCTTGATAGTGGATATTTACTATTTTTTTAATTTTCAAATATAAGATATGCATTCCATGTTTAACTTAACCTTCCATATATTAATTAAAAACCGTTTCTCCCTATCCCAATTACCCTACCTTACCTGTTCACAAACTAAGCAACATATATATGTACATCATCGAGAGGCTCCATCGTACCAGTAAAACCATGAAGACGGAGCTTCCCTCGGAAATACTATTCTCCCTTATACTCCCAAGGCTGCCTGCCAAATATGTATCACGTTTCAATTGTGTCTCCAAGCAATGGAACTCCTTCCTAAGGACGCCTTATTTTTCCAAGATTCACCTCCACCACGTAACCAATGACGACCATCAAAACCACCACAAATTTCTCTTCTTCTCGTCATCCATAAACCCAAAGGTGTTCCACAATCTCGACTGTGAAACACCTCATCAAGAAGGTTTACCTGTGAGCCGCTCTTTACCATTTGAAGTGGGTTCTGCGGTGATGATGTTTATAACATCTTTCAACGGACTGGTTTGCGTAGGCATAAACGAGGGAGGCAACAGATATGAATACTCCAATATGATAATATGGAATCCTTGTACAGGTGACTATAAGACGTTGTTTAAACCCAATTCTCGGGAAGAATGCTACCAGGTGACTGTAAAAGCATCCGGGTTGTATTACTGCGCTTCTGAAGATGATTACAGGCTTCTACGTGTGACCACAGGGCTCAATGTTTATATATACTCGTTGAAATCCGACTCATGGAGAATGCTGGATTCGATGAAGGTGTTGAGCTCAATAAGCACCCTTACTTCAGAAACTTGGGGGGCAAGTACTCTACAGAATGAAAATCTCTATTTCTTAACCAAGAGAGTGAACAAATATCATCAACTAGTTTCATATTGCATTATAATGTTCGACACAAAGACCGAAAAGTTCAAAGAGTTGCCAACTCCCTCTTCTCAAGATGACACGACAATCTGTTTGAATTCCGTGCTTCTACACAAAGACCAACTAATTCACTTATGTGAGATCTATAGCTTCTGTAAGGTAAATTCTACAGTAGCAGAGTTGAGTGCCAAGTTATGGAGGATAGATGGAGATGGAGATGGAGACTGGACGAAGGTGGGAACGTATGCCATACCGAGAAATTTTTATGGCTACGAGCCACTACACTTGATGAGCGACGGGAATTGGGCTACACTTTGTCGCTCTAAATGTCATGTGTACAAACTCGATCCGGACAGGGATTTCGAAAAGATATCTCATAGAATCGACAACCCTCCAAAAGGGAAATATGTTGAGACTTTGGTGTCACCCAATCGGTAGATAGATGAAGCAACGGAGATTTGTGAGACTAATTCAAGTTTGTCTTTCTTCGTTTTAATTTGTTGATTCGTTTTGTTTTCTATATATGTACGTAACTATAATTTGTTGCTATGAACTAAATTTTGTCAAATGTTTTGAATCGCTTGTCACCTCCAGAGAGCCAATTTTACTTTACAATGTAGAGATACAAAAATAATATAGAGATTATACATGGACCTTAACCAAGCTGGCTTTAAAGCTGCAATAAGTTTAATTCCCATTCCTTGGTTTGATAAGTAGGTCTTAACTAACAGATCTATATATCAAATAGAATGAGGTTCATGGATCTTAGTCTGCGGTATAATGAAGCCACCAAATCATAACATAAAGAATAATGTTATACTACCTATGGTTGTAGAAGCAACGACAATTTAAAAGAATGATACAAAGAATCCAAAGATGGATATTCACATGTGCTGCATTGAGAATATTAAGGGCATACAGTCCATTGAACTCTAATAGATTGTCACGTCACTATCACTTTAGCATTTTACCTTTTATTCACTTCACTCTTTAACACCCATAGAACCCAACTAAGTTTAATGAAATTCCACATTTTCATCATTATATATTTGAACATAATTATAAATTTAATAAAATTCCACATTTTCTTTTTAAGTGACTTTTTATTTTTAAATACTTCATTTGTATTATTTATTTT